TTGGGAGGGGTGCTATGTAACAAGAAATTAAGCTACCCAGTTCTAATATCATTACTTTCTATTTCAAAGGCCCTGTATAATTCCTACGGGTCTATCACTTTCCAAAAAATTTGGTTCGGATTATTTCCCTAGATAACCAGTAACCCATGTTAACCCAATAAGCCATGTTATCAGACTTGGTTTCCATTGGGTTCCTTTAATCCTCTCCCCCAGGGTGCAACCCCCACATGAATCTAACGCCCAGGTACCTACTTACTGCTAGGTTAACGGAGGTAGTAAATACATACTATAAGGAAAAATACACAAGGTTGCCACTTGTCCAAGGCTGGAACACTAGTCCCTCAGTGAGAGTTGAAGCTGCTCCCAAATGAGCCAATGAACATGATCTCATTCTAATTAGGCCTGACTGCCTATCATTCCATAGGTGCTACGTAACTATTACAGGTTTAGTGTTTCCTCATTGATAAATGAAAACTATTTTTACAAAATATAACTTTCAAATAATTCTGGAATAACTGCCATTATTGATATACCTGGAGTATCCCTGGAAAGAATTCCGGGAGTCAACGCCCCCCGCAGCCCGATCTGTGACCAGGCCTCATGGTGGATCAGGGCCTGATCACCCAGGCTGATACAACTGGCCGCACGTAATTCAACGTACGAACCACAGCCCGGGTGGTCAGGTACTGACTTTAGGTGCCTGTCCAGTGCCTACTTGAAGACAGCCAAGGGTCTATTGGTAATCCCTCTGATGTATGCTGGGAGGCAGTTGAACAGTCTTGGGCCCCTGACACTTACTGTGTTGTTTCTCATCGTGCTAGTGACACCCCTTGCTTTTCATTGGGGGGATGTTGCACCGTCTGCCGAGTCGTTTGCTTTCGTAGGGAGTGATTTTCCTGTGCAAGTTCGGTACTGGTCCCTTTAGGATTTTGCAGGTGTATATAATCATGTATCTCTCCCTCCTGCATTCCAGGGAGTACAGGTTTAGGAACTTCAAGCGTTCCCAGTAAATGAGATGGTTTACCACAGTTAAGTGCGCCGTAAAAGTTCTCTGTACATTTTTTAGGTCAGCAATTTCACCTGCTTTAAGGCAGGTGCTGTTAGTGTGCAGCAATATTCCAGCCTAGATAGAACAAGCAACCTGAAGAGTGTCATCTTGGGCTTGGCATCCCTGGTTTTGAAGGTTCTCATTATCCATCCTGTCATTTTTCTAGTAGATGTGATTGATACAATGTTATGATCCTTGAAGGTGAGATCCTCTGAGATGATCACTCCCAGGACTTTGACATTAGTTTCTCGCTCTATTGTGTGGTTGGAATTTGGTTTATACTCCGATGAAGTTTTAATTTCCTCACATTTTCCATATCAGAGTAATTGAAATTTCTCATCATTGAACTTCATATTGTTTTCTGCAGCCCATTTCAAGATTTGGTTGATGTCCGCCTGAAGTCTTGCAGTGTCTTCAAAGGAAGACACTGTAATGCAAATTCGGGTGTCATCTGCAAAGGAAGACACGGTGCTGTGGCTGACATCCTTGTCTATGTCCGATATGAGGATGAGAAACAAGATGGGGCAGAGTACTGTACCTTGTGGAACAGAGCTTTTCACCGTAGCTGCCTCGGATTTTACTCTGTTAATTACTACTCTTTGTGTTCTGTTTGTGAGGAAATATGACTATAGAAATCCCCTGGTTATGCAGAATGCTAAAGTTTGCAGTCCTTGACATTAACACCAACTTAGGATTAACATGTTTTTTTTTTATTTTTGAAACGTCATAACGTTTGTAGCTGTTATTGCAAATGTTGGTCAAATACTAATCTACGTTTCAGTATTACTACATTAATATAATAATAATAATAATAATAATAATAATAATAATAATAATAATAATAATAATAATAATAATAATAATAATAATGGTAATCTGATAAAAAATGTTAACTCTTTCGAACTAGAACCAAGAGTTTGACCTAGTCAAGGAGTGCGTTGTGCCCTTTTTGATGGTGAAGGGCTCTTGATATAAGCTTATGAGTTTCATTATTATTATAATCAAGAAGAGGCGCTAAACCCGTAGGATTATACAGTGCCTGTGGGGGGATGTGGAAGGTATTCAGGTTTTATTCAGGGAACTGGAGCACAGATCCAATTCCCTAGATCAAGAGCCCCTCACCAGCATCAAGGAACCTTTCTTGAGGGGCTATTAGTTTGAGCTTCCCTCCGCATCCTCGAATCAAACCTGATTATCTCCCATTTCCCAGGCGCTGTACAGATGAAGTTCTTCCCCATCAATATATAACAGTTACACTTCACTGTTACTCTCTGCAGGTGTTCAGGTAGTCCGTTTTTGTGATGTAATTAATATATTCACAGGGAAGCGCTAAACCCAAAGAGGTTGTGAAGCACCTGGGGAATGGGAGGCAATGATTTTTGACCCAAGGAAAAGAAAGGTAGCTCCTATTCCTTGGATGAAGAGTCCAAGGTGTGGTAATGGACAGGCAGCTCCCTCTGTTGACACTTGTCAGTCAGCTGACACCAGTATACATCGACACCTGCTGCTGTTGCTGCTGCTGCCTGCTTTACCTCACTGCTGCAGCTAACACCCTCATGACAGGTGTTTATACGTCATGCATGAGTCACTGGTACCCTCAGCGTTATTCCTGGCATGTTGGAGCGCTATCTTCCTCACTCAGGTGAAGAAATACGTGTTAAGGGTGAAAGGGCTCTTGATACAAAAAAAATGGAAGTGTCCTGAATTTCCTTGAATTGAACCTGATTATCACCATTGCCAGCCGCTGTATGACCCACGTGAGTTTAAGTTCTATGAATATAAGAGTGTTCAAGTCTTGAATAATGTGATGGCTGTGGTGGGCGGAGTTGTCATGGGTTCCAGAAACACAGCGCTGCATGACCCTTGTCGGTTTAGCGCTTTATTTGGTGATGATAATCTTGCCTCACTCTGGCTAATATGGATATCAGGTCCTGAGAACTCGCGCATTATTTTATTTTTAAAATTCAAACATGCTTTCAATAGGTACAAATTGTTATTTTAATAATTATAGACCTGATCCTTATGTGAATCTGGTTATAATTTATTCTTGTAAATGTGCAATATCAGGTTGACTTTGTCATTTGTTTTATGTTATGCAGATGTAACTTCAAGAAACCCATCCTAATATTACCTAATGTAACTTAACCTTACTCTGCCAGTTTTAGATATGGGAATGGCGTGCTTTTCTTTAAAATTCCCATCGTGTTTCTTTATATTCACTGATTGGCCAGGAACGTTAATGTCAACCGTTGAGAGGCCCTGGCGTGCTGTACATCCCAAAATAATAATATTTTTGCTAATGTCTCCCAAAGTAAGTTCCCACTATAACTAATTTGTGCTGGGGTAGATAACATGCTTGTATTAAAAAAAAATATGTAGGCGAATCGAATGTAAATAAAGGCGCAATTCCTCAAGGAAGGTCCCATGATGCTGGTGAGGGGCTCTTGATCTTGGGAATTGGATATGTGCTCCAGTTCCCTGAATTAAACCTGAATACCTTCCACATCTCCCCACAGGCGCTATATAATCCTACGGGTTTAGTGCTTCCCCCTTGATTTTAATAATAAAGGCGCATTAGTCCCATATCTACCGCTGATGGAGTAAGGTTAAGTTCAGATAACGACATTTTAAGTTCGATTTCGTTAGCTTACGTTTGCTTTTATCCACATGGACAGTATAAAACAATAGCCATGACAAAACCAACTTCATATTCGGACATTTTTAATAATAAATTATGGCTCGGATCGCACAAGGACTTGATCTTCATAATTACCACAGCTGCCCAGCTTCAAGGCACGCGCCCTTGAACAGGAAGCACAAAACCCGTAGAGGTTATACAACGCTTGGATAATTTGAGGCAGTTTCACTCCAGGGAAAGCGGAGAATTTCAGTTCCTTGGACAAAGAGCTCTTTACCAGTGTCACTGTATAGCCCTTGTGGCTTAGCGCTTCTTTTTTATTATAATAATAATTTACCAGTGTCAAGGCACCCCCCCCCATTGAATGGTGATTGTGTAGTGGTTATCTTACATGTAATTGACATTAGACACCACCGATTAGATATGAAATTCGTTGTTGTGGTGCCAAAAACCGTTCTAGGGAAGTGCCTTGATGTCGGTGATGTCTTGATCTGATCTCTCCCTTAAATCTAACGTGATTGTTTGCCAGTTTTCATGCGTTGCATAACCCCTACGGGTTAAGTGCTTTCCATTAATTTAATAATATAAATTATTATTATTAATATAAATTACGAGTTTTGAACGTAAGACAGCCTGATATTATTCATGGGTGAGCGCTAAACTCCATAGGGGTCATATAGCGACTGGGTAATGGGAGTCAATTATGGTCGATCCAAGGAAGGGAAAGGAAGGATCCCAATGGAAATAAATCACCTTGACTTTTTTTTAGGGGTTATCCTAGGTAATTTACACATGTTAAACTCTGTATGGTAATTGTATTTGTGTACCTGTACCTAAATAAACTAAGTTCCTTGGATGAAAAGCCCCTTTTCAGGCGTAAAGGAACCTCTTGGTTGAAGGTTAGCGTGTAGCCATAGTAACCATCGCTGGTGCAGCTCTAAGCTACAAGTATTGCACCGTTGTATATTAAACTTACCTTCCTGTGTGGGATGCTATAATAATAACAACATCAGTTAGTTTTTTGGATACGGTAGTTATGAGGCAGGATGTATTAGCTAGCTTAATTGCAATAGACAGTGGAAATGTTAAGAGGTGGCAACGGGTTGCGTCATATTAGGCAAACCTGGTTGGAAAATAGTGGAAAGTGAACCATTTAATGTTGTATATTAATCATTATTACAGTTTTGAGTAAATATATGGGGTAGATTAAGAGTACATGAATTCCCAGGTATTGTAAAATAATAAGGTAAAATAGAAGGTATGGCAAGTATGGAGGAGTGGATGTGCCAGGCTGGTTGGGTCCAGGGAGGCGTGTTCAGTAACTTGGGTTCACTAGCGCTGTAGACGTGGTCGTGGTCTTGGTCAAGCTTGAAATATTACATTTTAATTTTGACGTTTCTTGTAAGCAGTTATTTCCATTTTAACGCATCGATGTAGTGTATGCATTTAAGGCAGTATAAAGGCTTTGTGATTTAATTTTTGTTAACGTACAAACTAATTTGCCGTTTTTCATAATTACAGCTGTGTTTGGACTTGATTGGTGCACAAATAAAAGTATTTTCTATAAATAGGCAAAAACATTTAAATATTTTAAAAGTGCCAACATTTTAATAATAAAGATAACGTCAAATAATTTTTATTTTAATATTGATATATTAAAAAAAAAGACCATGCATGTTACTTCTTTTTTTTGCATTTAAATAATGAATCAGTTTCTGAACATTAATTTTAGTGTAATTCATATTGTCTCCTGTTGCAATTTTATACTTATTTAAAACCTTTCTTTAACCTTTTATCGTAATCATTATTATTATTTCGTGTTTAGCTTTTAAGCTGATTATATACCTTGGAAGAATTCAAATTCAAATTCAAAGTTTATTCTCTATAAAGATTACAATGTTGAATTTACAGAATTTGGTTGTTGTGTGGTTTACATGTAGTTAAATAATGATTACAGAGTGTACCACTAGAACGCCTAGCATGGCTAGGCATTTCGGGCAGACTTAGTTTAATTCTTTATTTTAAAATATTACAAATTATGAGGTAAGTTGGTATTATGGCTAAGTGACTAAATACTAGTTTGTGAGTTTAGCAATGTGAATGCTTTTGTTTTGGCACAGTACATAGTTTCAGTATTGGAGTATCATAGGATTCATTATTTTAAGATTGAGATTAATATTTCTGTTTATGGTCAAATGGGTGAGTGAGTGTAAGTGTGAACCACCAGGTGGTATTCGTGTAGTTAGTTGATGGGGTGTATCAGGGAGATAAGATATTTTCTAATGGTAGTTTTGAAGGTGATGAATGTGTCTGCAGTTCTAGAGTTCTCAGGTAGGGTGTTCCAGATTTTAGGGCCTTTGACAGACATTGAATTTTTGTAAAGGTTTAGTCGGACACGGGGAATGTCGTAGAGATGTTTGTGTCTGGTGTTATGCCTGTGGGTTCTGTCACAACTATCAAGAGAGCGTTTTAGGTAAAGGTTGATATTGGAGTTTAAGGTCCTGTAGATGTAGATTGCACAGTAGTAAGTGTGGATGTACTGAACAGGGAGTAAGTTTAGATCTATGAAGAGTGGGGGGGGGGTGTTGCCAGGGATGGGATTTAGTGATTATTCTTACTGCAGCTTTTTGTTGGGTTATTATTGACTTTAGGTGTGTTTCTGCAGTTGATCCCCAAGCACAAATAGCATAGGTGAGGTATGGATATATAAGTGAATGGTATAGTGTGATAAGGGCAGTTTGCGGCACGTAGTATCGTATCTTGGAGAGGATCCCAACTGTTTTGGATACTTTTTTGGTTATGTGTTGGATATGTGAAGAAGAAGAATTTATACCTTTGAAGAATTTCGAGAGTATATCTACTCTCTGAGCCCGGCCATGGGCCTATAACCCTTAACCCATTCGGGTTTGGCGATTGTTTTTAGTAATAATGACACCCTTATAGTTTTACGCAAATCTCCTAATATTTCGCTGTATCTTCAACCAACAAGTTATAATATCACTAACAGTGTTACTCATGTAGGCTTTTCAGGGTAAATGGTACTCACCTAGTTGAGGTTGCAGGGGTCGAGTCCGAGCTCCTGGCCCCTGGTGTCTTAATGCCCGTGAAGGGCTCTGAATCTGAGGAACTGAAGTTAATCTCGTATCAAAACTGATAGCCTACCATTCCTCGGGTGGTATATACTCAGTATGTAAGTTTTATTTAGGTATAGGTACACATAAATACAGTTACGTGATTTATCATACATCGTAGCATGTGTGTAATTATCTAGTATAACCCAAAAGAGTCAGAATGACTTATTTCCATTGGGGTCCTTTGGAAATAAGTCACTTTGCTCATCTCAAAGTGCAGATGTGGAGACAGTCTCGAAGTAAAATGCAGAACTTCTTGACTAAACATTCTGCTCTTCTTACCACCTTATCTTTTATCCATAAAATGCATACATGTACTCTTTATGCAAAATGGTGTGATAAATGGTTTTGAAAACCGACAGCCCGAAAAATTGAAACACTTATGCAACATATGGGAATCTTTGCATAAACGTTTCGCCACACAGTGGCTTCATCAGTCCAATACAAAGCAGAAAGATATAAGGAGAGGAGCCTTCGACTCCCCTGACTGCAGTATATAAGCCACTTCTCTGGCCCTATGCTGTACTTCCTACAAGGGTGATGCACCGAATCGATTCCAGGCTGAGGGACTGATTACCTCAACTACTCCTCTTCTTATATCTTCCTGCTTTGTATTGGACTGATGAAGCCACTGTGGCGAAACGTTTAAGTAAAGATTCCCATATGTTGCGTAAGTATCTCAATTCTTCATGTAAAATGGTACAGTACAAGGATGCGATTAGTATAAAGGACCAAAAAAAAAAAAAGAAGTCTGATATACTACTTACGAGAGAATTATCAACTAAGTAACATTAGTTAGTGAAGCTTGACTGATTAGTGGACTAAATGGCCCACACGGGTTTAGCGCTTTGCAGTAATGATTAGGAGTAGCTACTACTGTTGTTAGCATCAACCTTTTGATTATAGAAGATGCCATTTGTAAAGCAAATAGTCGTTAATAAATTTTATTTAATATAATTATTATAAATTTACAACGAATGTAAACTGGTGGGAATTTTATTGTACTTGTGTGAGAAGTGAGGGGAGTGTCATCTGGATTGTGATATCTACACACTTCTGGCAAGATAGTTATTGAACGAATGATAGTGACTCCGTTTTTTTTTTTTTCGGGGGGGGGGGGGGGAGGAGTCTCCTTACTTTGCTTGGAGACTTCATATGCGGTAAAAGAAAATATTTATAATTCAGTATTGATGCATTAAAGAAAGTTGCTGCAGGAAGATGAGAGGTAACTTAGAAGATGCAGTTTAATGTCTTATCAATAACCTAGGCATTATTATTATTATAATCAAAAAGAAGCACTAAGCCACAAGGACTATACAGCTATAACCTAGGCAGCAGTGGCTGTGTTCTCCTTATCTCTAAGGAAATGACGACAGCTGCAGCCTGTGATTACCGCCTCTTATAATAATAATAATAAATTTTATTTCTGAAAGTACATGTACAAGGTATACAGTCTTAGTTGACATCAATAACATACTACTGTATAGAAAGCCACTTGTTATGCAGAGCATTTCGGGCAAATTAGGTCAGTTTTGTTCCAGGATGCAACCCACACCAGCCGACTAACTCCCAGGTACTCATTACACTGGACCCCCGCCTTACGATATTAATACATTCCTGAGAGCTCATCGTGAACCGAAATTATCGTTAGCCGAATTAATTTTCCCCATAAATAATGGAAAGCAAATTAATCCATTCCTGACACCCCAAAGTATAAAAAAAAAAATTTTACCACATGAAATATTAATTTTAATACACACAAACTGAAGAAGACATGCACAATTACTGCTCTACTAAGAATAGAATACATGACACTTACCTTTATTAAAGATCTGGTGATGACTGATGGGATGGGAGGAGGGGAGAGTGTGGAAGTTATTGTTTAGTAGGGGAATCCCCTTCCATTAGGACTTGAGATAGCAAGTCCTTTTCCAGGGTTACTTCCCTTCTTCTTTTAATGCCACTAGGACCAGCTTGAGAGTCACTGGACCTCTGTCGCACAACAAATCTGTCCATAGAGTTCTGTACCTCCCGTTCCTTTAAGACTTTCCTAAAATGGGCCATAACATTGTCATTGTACAGGTTGCCAACATGGCTTGCAGTAGCTGTCAGGGTGATTTTCATCCGTAAAGGTTTGCAGTTCAACCCACTTTGCACACATTTCCTTAATCTCTTTTTTCAATTCCATACTAATTCTCACCCTTTTTACCACAGGGATGGCACTAGAAGCTTTCTTGGGGTCCATGGTGACTTATTTTGCAGTTATAAGCACTAAAAACACTGGGATAATGTGAAATGTACCGAATGTATGCGTAGATGCGACCACACTGGCTGGCTTGTAAACGCTGGTGCTTAGGCCACACATGGGATGCGTCCCGGATGAATCACGTAAGGCGAGTTTTTTTCATGAGGCAAAATTTTTTGCATGCAAATGCTTCGTATGGCAGATTTAATGTAACGCGATGTGTTTGTGAGGCGGGGTCCACTGTATTACTGATGGGTGAACATAGACAACCGGTGTAAAGAAACCCCTAATGTTTCTACCCTCGCCGGGAATCGAACCCTGAACTCGCCATGCAAGGCGAGAGCTTTAGCCACCAGGCCACAGGGCACCGGGGATCTTGATCCAAGGAATTGTAGCTACTCTACTCTTCCTTGGATAAAATCTTTATTTCTCTATTTGGGGTGCTCATTTCTTAAATTGCCAGCAGCCTCAGCCTATACACTGAGTGACTGGTAAAGAGGGGTTTGGTTCCCAAGGAGTGAAACTGAAAACCAACTGACTGCTTGGCAGTAGGTACAGCGTTGTATGACTCTTGTGGGATTAGCGCTTAGTTCTGATTGTAATAATTAGCAGTAAGTAGGTATCTGGGTGTTAGCTAACTGTTCTGGGGTCGCATCCTGAAGGAAAGGACTAAAGAACCCCAATGGAAATAAGCCATAGTTACTAACTCTCGAGTTGATAAATCGAATAAAATCTACCCAAGTATGTACTATATGACACCCACAATTTTAGAGCTTCCCATTAATAATATACGCAACAATCTGATTATGGTATCAAAGTTGAATACAGCACTTGCATCCTGTGGTCAGTTGTAAGCTTATTCAGGTACAGGTACACACAAATACAGTTATAGATTATCATACATAGCAGCATGTATGTAGATTACCCAGAATAACCCCAAAAAGTAAAAAAAATGACTTATTTCCATTTTGTCCTAAATATCTCAATGTAACTGTATTGATTAGCAACGAATTATTCAAACTACTAGTGATCACTTGAAAGCTCTAAACACTCAGTCATACAGTGCTTGGGAAATGAGAGGAAATGTTTCTATGTAAGGAACAGGAGAATCCATCCAATTCCTTGAATACATTCCTTCACCAGGATCAAGGCATCTATCTCCCTTGAAGGGTTGGAGATTTCAGGATGGTGGCATCTTTGTCTACTCTATTTTCACACTGTTGAGTTTAGAGGCCAAGTATTTATCTTACTGCAGCTCATGTAAGGTATAGTAGCCATAACAGTTGGCTGATTTTCAGGTACCTATTTACTGCTAGGTGGGCAGGGGCAATTAGTGTAAAAAAGGAAGATGGAGAGGAATGAAGAAAGAAGGATAGAGAGGGAATGAGGAAAATGAGGGGAGAGGAGAGAGGGAGAAAAAGAGACTGAGGGAGGGGGGAGGAGGGAGAGAAAGGAAAGAGGGATGTCAGAGTGAACTTTAACCTAAACTTTTAAATCTTTTTTTTTGCATTCCAAATCAACCTAAGTTTCTTGGCATACTCTGGAAATTATTTTTCAGAATATTATTCTTAAATTTGAACAACTTTTCATGCATAATTCTGAATTAGAGATTATTGTACCATATGTTGCTGATCACCCTAATGTAATCAAGCCATTTACAGTGTACCTCTAAACTATGTACAGTAGAGATTTTGATTGTATTATAATACTGTACATATTAATATGAGTAAAATTAAAATGCTTGACAGTAATACTGCACTGTATTACCATGTTTTCAAACTATAATGATAAAATGCTCTGCTTAAACATCACCAAAAATTAATGTGTATCTGTTCACTACAGGCTGCTGTTGGGTGTTATTGTGGTTTTAGTAGCTGTGGGACCAGTAATGGCAAGAAAGCAACTCCCAACCTTTCCACAGTATCCACACCATGATGAAGTTGTCAAGCTTGCTGTTAGTCAGAACAACTTTACACGTGATCTATATGTGGTGAGTTGTGTGTATGACAGTGACAGAACAATTAATTATAAAGTAATAATTTTTTATATTTTTTATTAACACATCGGCCGATTCCCACCAAGGCAGGGTGGCCCGAAAAAGAAAAACTTTCATCATCATTCACTCCATCACTGTCTTGCCAGAGGGGTGTTTTACACTACAGTTATAAAACTGCAACATTAACACCCCTCCTTCAAAGTGTAGACACTGTATTTCCCATCTCTAGGACTCAAGTCTGGCCTGCCAGTTTCTCTGAATCACTTCATAAATGTTACTTTGCTCACACTCCAACAGTACATCAAGTATTGAAAACCATTTGTCTCCATTCACTCCTATCAAATATGCTCACGCATGCTTGCTGGAAGTTCAAGCCCGTCACACACAAAACTTCCTTTACCCCCTCCCTCCAACCCTTCCTAGGCCGACCCCTAAACCATTTTCCCTCCACTACAGATTTATACATTCTCAAAGTCATTCTATTTTGTTGCATTCTCTCTACATGTCCAAACCACTTCAACAACCCCTCCTCAGCTCTCTGGACTCTGGATAATAGTTCTGTTAATCCCACACCTTCTCTTTATTTCCAAACTACGAATTCTCTGCATTATATTCACACCACACATTGCCCTCAGACATGACATCTCCACTGCCTCCAGCCTTCTCCTCATTGCAACATTCATCACCCATGCTTCACACCCATACAAGAGTGTTGGTACAACTATACTCGCATACATTTCCCTCTTTGCTTCCACGGTGCTTTCTTTGGTGCGCTTAGGAGTCTCCACAGACTCTAAAGTGCACCACTTACCCTTTTCCCTTCATCAATTCTATGATTCGCCTCATCCTTCACAGACCCATTTGCTGACACGTCCACTCCTAAATATCTGAATACATTCACCTCCTCCATACTCTCTCCCTCCAACCTGATATCCAGTCTTTCGTCGCCTAATCTTTTTGTTATCCTCATAACCTTGCTCTTTCCTATATTCACTTTATTTTCTCCTTTTACTTACCCTGCCAAATTCATCCACCAACCTCTGCAACTTCTCTGCAGAATCTCCCAAAAGCACAGTGTCATCAGCAAAGAGCAACTGTGACAACTCCCACTTTGTGTTTGATTCTTTATCTTTTAACTCGACACCTCTTGCCAAGATGCTCGCATTCACTTCTCTTACAACCCCATCTATAAATACAGTGGACCCCCGGTTAACGATATTTTTTCACTCCAGAAGTATGTTCAGGTGCCAGTACTGACCGAATTTGTTCCCATAAGAAATATTGTGAAGTAGATTAGTCCATTTCAGACCCCCAAACATACACGTACAAACGCACTTACATAAATACACTTACATAATTGGTCGCATTCGGAGGTAATCGTTATGCGGGGGTCCACTGTATATTGAACAACCACGGTGACATCACACATCCTTGTCTAAGGCCTACTTTTACTGGGAAATAATCTTCCTCTCTCCTACATACTCTAACCTGTATCCTGCATTAGTTGTGCTGTAGATTATTACTAGTGTATTATATTCTTGGTTAAATGCACAGATAACCCCCACATAGGAGAGAGAAGCTTACGACTTGGACCATTTACAAAATCGGTGTGACTTTGTAAATGGTCCAAGTTGGACTGAAACATCATTGTAAGTTTCTCCTCTGTATGGGTTATTTGTGTGTTGTTCCAGTCTTGTATTGTGCCTTTTTATTCTTCCTGAGAAAGTGCCTAGGGAATTGGAGGTAATCAGGTTTAATCCAAGAAATGAGAGGTAGTTCCAGTCCCTCGAATCAGAAGAGGTTCACTGGCATCAAGGCACCAGTTAAAGAGAGGCAAGTTTATTTGGGTACAGGTACTCATAAGTACAGTTATCATACCTAGTAATGTGTATATACCTGGAATATACCTGGTGAAGGTTTTGGGGATTAACACCTTCGCTGCCCAGTCTGTGGCCAGGCCTTGTAGTAGATCAGAGCCTGCTCAACTAGGCTGTTACTGTTGGCCACATGCATACCGGGATATGAATCACTGCCCGGCTGGTCAGGTACTGACTTTAGGTATCTGTCCAGTGCCTTCTTGAAGACAGCCTGGGGTCTATTTGTAGTCCCCCTTATCTGTGCTGGGAAGGAGGCAGTTGAACAGTCTTGTGCCCCTGACACTTATTGCATTGCCTCTTAGTGTACTCATGGTGCCCCTGCTTTTCATTGGGGGGGATGTTGCATCTGCCCAGTCTTGCTTTTGTAGGCAGTGATTTTTGTGTGCAAATTTGGGACTAGTCTCTAGGATTTTCCAGGTGAATATTATCATGTATGTATCTTTCTTGCTTGTATTCCAGGTAGTGCCTAGTTTAACACCAAAAAGTCAGACTTAGTATTTCCATTGGGGTCCTTGAGACTTAGAAATATGCCTAGGCTTTTATTTCATGAGATCATACAGTACGTACTAGTAGCACAATAATATACTATTTCCCTGTTAATTTTAGAAAGTATTTCACTATTGCTGTACACTATCATCAACATTATTATCCTGCAATATCAACTGATTAGTAACAAAGTTAATATTTATACATATTTTAAAAATAATAAGCATTTTCCTTATACAGTTGTTATTTTTTCTGATAGCAAATAGCTCAGAGGAGTTCGAGAAATCTCTTCTTCTCCCCGTTTAGTATTGTGATGGCTATGGGAATGACGCATGCTGGGACAGCTGGCAACACTGAGAAAGAGGTGCATGCAGTTCTGCATCTCTCTCAGGATAAGGATGCAATGCATAATGCCTTTCAAGATATTGTCACTGATCTGAAGGTGGGAATCTTCATAAATCAGTATTTTATTGTTTATGTATACACAGTAAACAGTATTTTATTGTTCATGTATATACGGTAGAATATACAGTGGTCCCTTGATAATCGTCAGGCTTCACAGTCGTCCTTTTCGGAAATCGTTGCGTTATTTTCGTCCAAACATTGGCTCGCAAATGGTCGGTTGACTCGCTAATCATCGTTCGTCCTGGACGTGTACTCACGGCTCTGAGCTGCCTCAGCCTCCCTTCCCAGCCAGTGTGCCATTGTTTACCAGTGAGAGACAGTCCCCTCACTTGTTCATACGAAATATTTCATAATATTCCATTCATTTTAGTGCTTGCAAGTGCTAAATAAGGTACCATGGCACCAAAGAGAGCTCCTAGTGCCAAGCCTTTGGTAAAGAAGGTGAGAAATAAGATTGAATTTAAGAAAAACATCATTGAACAATATGAAAGTGGCATACGTGTGGCCAAACCAGCCAGGATGTATAACAAACCCCATACAACCATATCTTCCATCGTGGCAAAGAAAAAGGAAATCAAGGAAGCTGTTGTTGCTTGAAGAAAATTGTGGCCAGATTGTGTCCACAAGAGGGATTTTGAAGGGTTTGTGGCTGACCCTGATGAGCCTATGTCAGTTGTGAAATCTACTGTGGCATTGGGGAGTTCCATGGGGTTGGATGTGAGTTTAGAGGATGTAGAAGAGGTGGTGGAGGACCACAACGAAGAGCTAACCACTGAGGAGCTGCAAGAGCTTCAGCAGGAACAGCAATAGATCGCAGCTCAGAATCTTGCTGAAGAGGAGGAGGAAGAGAGATGGAAGAAGGTGCCTTCTTCAGAAATTAAGGAGATTTTTGAAATGTCGGGTAGGATGGAAAGATTTATGGAGAAATATCACCCTGAGAAGGATGTTGCAGTCCATATCGGCAACTTGTACAGTGACAGTCTTGGGCCATTTTAGGGAAGTTTTAAAGAGATGCCAGAAACAGCTCTCTGGACACTTTTTTTGCAAGACAGGACTCCAGTGACTCTCAAGCTGGTCCTAGTGGCATTAAGAAACAGAGAAGAGAAGTATGTAACCCCAGAAAAGGACTTGGTACCTGAGGTGTTGATGGAAGGGGATTCCCCTTCCAAGCAGTAACTAATCCAATCTCTCTCCTCCTCCAATCTTCCATACACTAAGAGGAATCGCCAATAAAGGTAAGTGTTATGCTGTTAATGTTTCATTCATCATGTCCCACTGTATTGTTTATGTACTACATCTATATTTCATGTAAAAATTTTTTGTTTTAATACTTTGGGTGTCAGGAACAGATTAATTGTACAGTGGACCCCCGGTTTACGATATTTTTTCATTCCAGAAGTATGTTCAGGTGCCAGTACTGACCGAATTTGTTCCCATAAGGAATATCGTGAAGTAGATTAGTCCATTTCAGACCCCCAAACATACACGTACAAACGCACTTACATAAATACACTTACATAATTGGTCGCATTGGGAGGTGATCGTTAAGCGGGGGTCCACTGTATTTACATTATTTCTTATTGGGAAAATTGATTCGAAAATCGTCTATTTTGATAGTCGTCGCACTTCCAGGAGCGGATTAATGACGATAAACGAGGGACCACTGTATTTTATTTTTCATGAATGTACTGTAGATATTTTTCAGCAAATTTTACTTGCCACATACTGTATACAACACTTTGAGGACTGAGCTGTATTGGCTTACTGTATTTTGCAATATGTATTCTAGCTGGATAGTAGAAATGTCACAACAAAGCTAGATTCCTTGTAGTATTTTACGCACGAGCCACCTCCCACCAAAGTAAGGTGACCCTAAAAGGAAGAAACACACTCACCATCACTCACTCTTATCATGGTTTTGCCTTCAGGAGGTGTGCCCTCCCAACTACAAATATCCCCACCTCCTTCAGTGCCGACAATGTACTTCTCACCTCCGAGATTCAAGTCCAGCTGGTTATTTTCCCTCATTTTTTTCACAAATGTTACTTAAGTATATATTTTTTTTATTTCTTTGCAGACTGAAGCAGCTGACTATGAGCTCAGGACATCCAACATGGCTTATGTTTCTCATAAAATGACTTTGTTGAGTAACTTTGAATGCATTCTAAAAGAAAAGTACCTGAGTTATGCAAAGACTGTAAATTTTGAAGAAAGTGAAAAAGTAAAGCAGGAGATAAATGATGCTGTTGAAAAGGAGACCAATTCCCGCATTAAGAATCTCATTCCATCAGGTACTGTATTTATAACTTTCTTATTATGTAATAATTTGATGAAGTAATGATCAGGTCTTTTGAGCTGCATGGCTTTATACTACCTGAATCAAGCATCAAAAAAGTACAATGGGAGCAGCATACAGTGTTCAATATCAATCCTGGTTTATACAAATTGCTGTACACTCGTTCATTGTTCTAAACTTCATTAGCATGCTTAAAAATTATGGTTCAAGTAGTTGAGACCTACCTTCGATTATGCAAAATTAACATTCAAGTGGGGCATGGACCCATGTTGAGGCACATCAAAATGGATGTTTCCTTGTGGACCTGCCCACTTTCCTTGCTTGAAATATAATTTTAAAATTACTGTGTATCTGTAGTATTTGAGCATTCTGCATTGTAAAACTTCTGAACTGGTGCACATGAGACAAGATGAAATTGTTCTTGTATGCTCTCTAGTCTCCAAAAATGTTCCCAAGGTTCATACACAAGCATGTAGTTGGTGAAATTGCTCACCACATACAGTACTTGACAGTGTAGTGATACAGGGCATCATAGTTTTAAAATTTTGACCTAGCTGGCATATTGTATGAGTTTAAAGCACGAGTTAGTGTTTTAGCATACACCTGCATATGCATTCCAACAGTACATCAAATCCCTAAAACTAATCAGGTTTCCTGCAGTTTACTTAAAACTTTCATCATCCTTCCAGTGATGTTCTTTGCATTTTTCTTCCGTCCACCTCAGATTTATATAACCTATTGGTCATCTTATCTTGCTCCACCCTTTCTAAAAGCCCAAACCTTCTCAACTTCCCTTGTTTTTCTGTACTACCACGATCTTATAATTTCTATGCTTCTTATTCTTTCTATAATACTCAAACTACACACTGATATCTCTGCAACATTCATTTTTTCCTTGTCAGTTTAATGGCTTACTGTACAGTATAAACAAATATAAATTTTCTTTTGCTACATTGTATTACAGCAATAGTAATAGTATGTATTTCTAAATCCTCCATGGGAAAGTGGAACAGAATTCTTCCTCTGCAAGCCATGCATGTCGTAAAAGGTGACTAAAATGCCGGGAGCAAGGGGCTAGTAACCCCTTACTAAATTTAAAAGGAGAAACTTCTGGTTTTTCTTTTTAGGTCACCCTGCCTCAGTGGGATGTGGCCAGTTTGTTGAAAAAAAAAACTACTGAGTGTAAAAAGAAGAAAAACTTTTATTTTTTCAGGTCACCATGCCTCAGTGGGAAATGGCTGGTCTGTTAAAAAAAACAATACAGTAATAATAAAAATAATACCAGTAATATTTTTCAGGTATATTGGATTCTTTAACAAGAATGGTGCTGGTGAATGCAATTTACTTTAAAGGCCTATGGGAAAATCAGTTTAAGAAATCAGATACACATGACCAGATGTTTTGGCTATCAGAAAGTGAGAGTGTCAAAATCCCAATGATGAACGTAAAGTCTGATTTTCATTTAAAGCACAATAAGGACCTGGATGCAGATATTCTAGCATTGGATTATAAGGTCAGTGATGTGTTATGAAATTTCTTGTTACAGTACTGCACCTTATAATTGGTATGTATGTCATGCATTTAGTTAGTTTAATATGTTTATTATGCACCCCATACCCATCCTGTGGGCGGTAGTCAAAAGATTACAGAGGTACATAATTGGTCCAGAGACTGGACTCCAAAGTTTTGATAGCTGAGCAAGTTACAAAGGTAATGAACTAGATCTGGTCATAATCATGACCAAGTTACAAAGGTAATGAGCTCCAGGTAGAGCTGGTCACACTCATGAATAATTGCAAAGGTAATGAATCAAACACATTAATCATGAGAATTTACAAAGGTAATGAGCTCCAGGTAGAGCTGGTCACAGTCATGACAAGTTTCAAAGGTAATGAATGATAAACACGTTATGACATGATTACAATCATAGACAAATTACCGAGTAATGAGCAGTTAACAAACATAGTAGGGAATTCATCCAATGCCCCAACAACAGATGTTGCTAGGTGCCTGTCTCTCCTCGGCAGACAGCCATTGCAAACAGCAGCAAGTTGCCCCGGGATCTGCTGCTTGCACGAGCACCATCGACCCTCCCCAAGAGGTCCAAGAAGCCAGTGACTCCGTTAGCAGCCTGATGGAGAGCTGCCCTAGGGACATGTCAGCGTCCTGGTGGACGCCAAGTTGATTGAAGATCCCAGGCCCTCATGTGCACGGATGTTGAAGCTTGAGGAACTGAGTACACACTGCCTGTGGCACACCTGACAGCTGCCTCGTGGTCGAACTCCACGATGCTGTCCCTGTAGTAGAAGTTCCTGTGAGCCCGGCACTCCCTGCAGTGCCATCGCTGACATCGTGGGTTAGGGGAGAAGTACCCTCTATAGATGGGGTGGCGCTGGGAGTTGGGTGGGTGAGGCGGGGAGACGCGCAGGGGTGAGGCGTTATGAGAGAGTCACTGTTTACTACACACGCCCCCCCTCCCCCCAGCGGAGACGGGGGGAGGCGCTGACTGGTCCTGACTCAACAACACCAAACCCTCTAAAACTGCACAACACTTCAACTATTTACACTGAAACGATGCACTGGGATGTCCGTTCGCTGCTCTGGTATCTTCTCAAAGCATTCACACTGAGTTCTGTTAAGTAAGAACCTGGTCAGCCTCTTTGACCAGGAGCTATGTCATGCATCTAATGTATTTGTCATAGCCTCCTTTTCATTGTTTGGTTAATATAGTATATAAAGTTCTTTCTTTAGTCACTATAGACCCATGGTTACAACAGTATTTACACCGGCTTGTTTTCTGTAAAGCCATTTTTGTGGACATAGGGAAAATTTGCTACTCTACTACTAGTACAGTACCTTCTATTTTTTCAGTGTCCCATATTGAAAAAAAAAAAATTATCATAATCTGGGATGTAGGTTTACTAAAATGGATTTAAGCATTAATTTTATGTATGACCCACACAGGTTTACCACTTATTTTATCATACAATAATAACGTGAGCTTGTTAGGTAGGAGTGAGTGGAGACGAATGGTTTTTGGGACCTGACAAGCTGTTTGAGTGAGAGAAGGATAATATTTTGTGAAGGATTCAGGGAAACTGGTTAGCTGGATGTGAGGTGGGAAGTACAGTACAATGCCTGCACTGTAAAGGAGGGGTTTGGGATATTGGCTGTTCAGTGACATCTGAGCTGTCCTATTTGGGCACCTCTTCAATGACAGTAATTGTGTGAATGATAGTGAAAGTATTTTTCTTTTATGGGTCACCCTGCCTCAGTGGGAGACAGCTGACTTGTTAAAAAAAAAATCTGTTTAATGTTATTTTATTGAACATTAAAATGGTATAAAATACCAACAGGTTGTTAGGTAAGACACATATGCAACAGTTAGGTATCTTTATTTCAAAACGTTTCGCCTACACAGTAGGCTTCTTCAGCCGAGTACAGAAAAGTTGATAGAAGCAGAAGAGACTTGAAGACGATGTAATCAGTCCATCACCCTTAAAGTTTTGAGGTGGTCAGTCCCTCAGTCTAGAGAAGAGCATTGTTTCATAGTCTGAAACAATACTATGGAACAATGCTCTTCTCTAGACTGAGGGACTGACCACCTCAAAACTTTAAGGGTGATGGACTGATTACATCGTCTTCAAGTCTTTTCTGCTTCTATCAACTTTTCTGTACTCGACTGAAGAAGCCTACTGTGTAGGCGAAACGTTTCGAAATAAAGATACCTAACTGTTGCATATGTGTCTTACCTAACAATGTTATTTTATCTCTATAAATATAATACCTCTTTGAGGGATCTTCCTGCCTGGAATCTACCTGGAGGGCATTCCAGGTATGAATGCCCCCGCGGCCCGGTCCACAACTAGGTCTCCTGGTAGATCAGGGCCTGATCAACCAAGCTGTTACTACTGGGTGCACGTAGTCCAACATGTGAACCACAGCCTGGCTGATCCGATACCAACTTTAAGTATCTGTCCAGCTCCCTCTTGAAGGCACCCAGGGGTCTATTCGTAATTCCCTTTATGCATGGTGGGAGGCTGTTGAACAGTTTTGGGCCCCGGACACTTATGGTGTTTTCTCTTAGTGTACCAATCACGCCCCCACTTTTCATTGGGGGTCTTTTGCACCGCCTACCCAGTCTTTTACTTTTGTAGGGAGTGATTTGTGTGTGCAGATTTAGGACTCTAGGATTTTTCAAGTGTAGACTATGATATATGTCTCTTGCCTGCATTTCAATGAGTACAAGTCAAGTGCCTCCAAGCATTCCCAGTAGTTGAGGTGTTTGATAGAACTTGTATGTGCAGTAAAGGTTCTCTGTACACTCTAGATCTGCAGTTTCACTTTGAATGGAGATGTTAATGTGCAGCAATATTCCAGCCTAGAGAGAAAAAGTGATTTGAAAAGGATCATCATTGGCTTGGCATCTCTTGTTTTGAACATTCTCATTATCCATCCCATCACTTTCTTTGCAGTTGTGATTGTGGCACTGTTGTAATCCTTGAAAGTGAGATCCTCAGACATTACCACTCCCACGTCCCTCCCTTTATTTATTTTTCTGCTCTATTGTATGATCAGACTTTGTAGTATACTCAGTTCTAGTTACTATCTCCTCCAGTTTTCCATAACGGAGTAGTTGGAATTTGTCTTCATTGAACATCATATTGTTTTCTGTTGCCCAGTGGAAAACTTGGTTTATATCTTCTTGGAGGTTAACTGTGTCCTCAATAGATGACAGTCTCATGCAGATCCTAGTATTGTCTGCAAAGGATGACACAGTACTGTGGATTACATCTCTATGTCTGATATAAGGATGAGGAACAGGATGGGAGCAAGTACTGTGCCTTGTGGAACAGAGCTTTTCACTATGGCAGCTTCCAATTTAACTCTGTTGACCACTACTCTTTGTGTTTGATTGGATTAGAAGTTGAAGATCCATCTCTCCACTTTGCCAGTTATTCCTTTAGCCATGGTCACACTTGTCAAAGGCTTTTGCAAAGTCTGTGTATATTACATCTGCATTTTGTTTTTCTTCCAGTGCATCCAAGACCATATCATAGTGATGCAGTAGTTGCGATTGGCAGGAGCAACTTGCTCTGAACCCATGTTGCCCTGGATTGTGCAGTTTTTGGGAATCCAAGTGGTTTGCAATTGTGCTTCTTAGTACTCTTTCAAAGATTTTTATAAATGGGGCTATATCTGTTGTTTTTAGTGATTTTGGAATTTTACCCATATCTAAGCTCCTTCTCCATATTATACTTAGGGCACATGAAAGGGGTTTCTTGTAGTTCTTAATGAACACAGAGTTCCACAAGTCTGGGCCTGGGGCTGAGTGCATAGGCATGTTGTCACTGGCTTTCTCAAAGTCTATCGGAGTCAGGGTAATATCAGAAATATGGCATACATTGATGGAGTTTTGAGGCTCATTCATGAAAAAATCATTTGGATTGTTGATCTTTAGACTGATTAGTGGCTCGTTAAACACAGAGTCATATTGGGATTTCAATATCTCATTCATTTCTTTGTTATCATCTTTGTAAGTCCCATCTTGTCTGAGCAAGGGCCCACTACTAGATGTGGTATTTGCCTTATTTTTGGCATATGAAAAGAAATACAGTATGTCGAATTTCTTTCAATTTTGCTAATCGCTTTTGGCTCCTCCTGTCTCCTGTAAGAGTCCTATTCCTTAAGTTCGATACTTTCCGCTTACCTGGTCCGCGCTTCCTTCCTTGTATCAGATAATTTAACATTCTTGAAGAGCTCAGTGATTCTTCGTCGTCTTCTATAGAGGGAGCATCTTTCTCTCTCCAGTTTACTTCTCTTCTTTCTTACAGGAATATGCCTTGAACATAGTTCAGCTGCCAGGAAGTTGTTCCTTTCAAGGCACTGGTTTGGATCCATGTTATATAGGATATCTTCCCAACATGTTTCATTTAAGACATGGTTCACCTGGTCCCAGTTGATGTTCTTGTTGTTGAAGTTGTATTTGGTGAAGACACCTTCACAGCTATGTGTATTTTGCTGATCAGGACCCCTGTGCATGCAAGTCTGAATTCTGATTAGATTGTGATCAAAATTAGTTGTTTTTGATATTTTTGTCTCTTACCAGGTCCTCATTATTTGTGAAGATAAGGTCAAGTGTGTTTTCCAGTCTTGTTGGCTCCACTATCTGCTGACTTAGGGTGTGTTTGTCACAGATTTGGTAGCTCATGTGTGTGTGACCTTCCATCTGCACTGCCTCAAGGGATTGTTTCTGCTATAACATTATTTGCTACATTCTTCCATTTTGTATACCTTATGTTGAAATCACCAAGCAGTAAGATCTTTGGGGATGGAGCTGGAAGGCTTTCCAGACAGTAATCAATTTTCAGTAGCTGTTCCTTGAACTGTTGGGAGGTTGCATCTGTGGCTTATATACAACAATGATGACTAGGTTTTGGTTCTCAATCTTTATTGTTAGAACTTCAACTGCATCATTTGTGGTGCTCAGCATCTCCCTGCAGATGAGCAACT